AGGTGGCGCTGGACGGTACGGACGGAGGCGTCAAGTTGCAGCTCCGTCTTGAGCTTGCTGGCTGACTTGCCGCTTGTGGAGGCAGCCTTGCGAAGGCGGCGTAGGCTGCGCACTGACATTTTCGGGCATGTGCGCTTCTTTGGAGGCCGATTGAAGGGGTCCTCGGCTTGAAGCACATGGCGTACGGCGCAGCGCGAGCGCCCCATCACCTTGGCGATTTCATTGATGCTTTTGCCGACCTTTCGGAAAGCGAGAACGGACGCCACCTCGGCAATGTCCAAAGGGGTGCCAAGCGGCATAGGTGTCACCACTACGCCATCGCAAATGGTAACAGGTTGTATAATATATAGTTCGACAATTTACCTTTGCCTGAAAGGTTGCGGAAGAGAAGAAAAGTGACGATATCCTTGGCTGTCTTTAAAATTTGACGCGCCAAAAAACGCAGCGATTTCACTTTCTTTGACGCTATGTCGTCATTTCTAGCGCACCATGCCTGAAATTTAGTGAGTAGGATCGGACATGCATGTTTTATCGCAACCTCTCATTATTTATAGATAATATTTAATATTGTCCAACAATTTTCTTACCACATAGGGGTGTCCTATACCGATGGCGAGCAGTGTAGCATTACAGGACGCTTTGGTTCCCTGTATGACCGCGCACCTTCTTTGTGAGGTCCTGCGTCTCGGCAAGCTTGGCTTCGATCGTCTGCGCGAACGAGTCGAGCATTTGTGCCGGGTTGAAGACGGGAATTGTGTGCCGCGGCTGCGTCGCGGACCGGTTGACTTCCAACGAGACGAACATTTCGGCGACCTTCTCCGTGATGCTCTCGAGGCGCGTGTTGAACCGGTCGGTCTCGACCGAGATCTTATTGAGCTCTGCGTCTGTACCCGGGTCCCGCGCGCTTTCCTTGTCGCGAAGCTCCCGCTCGCGATCGTCTTTTTCCTACATCAAATAATACGTTGATAGACACTATGTCCACTTCGCACAACGACATACTTTTTTAATTCGGCGCAGAGCTTGGCAATCATTTCGGCCTGCGCGTCGAGCGTGCCCTTGATGTCGGCGTCGTCGTACACGGGCATGTGCTCGATGCTCGTTTTTGGTGGCGCCGAAAACTTAGACGACCCCAAGAACGTATGGACCTTGGCGAGCTCGGAGTAGATTTGAAACTACAAGAAATGGATTTGAGATATGAACGGTGGAAGCTCCAGGCACCCGAAGCTTGGCGAGGTGACCTTCCGTGACCTTGTCGGCGAGGTCGTTGCGATAGGCGAGCACGTTTCGGCTCAGCACGCGCAGGTCGTCTTCGAACCCGTCCATACGACGCTGCGTCGTCAAGAGGATCTGCTCCATCTTCTTGAGCGCCTCGCTGTTGTGCCCGCTCAGCGACGCTGCATTGTCGAGGACGCTCAATGCGACGTGGCTCGTCCTGCGCTCCGGATCCTTGGGCACTAGCACCATTATCGTTTCGTCGGCGACTTGAAATTGACGATATACCGCTGCTGGCGCTCGGAGCCGCAGGACGTGCGAGCACTTGCTGCATTTGGCGCAAGTCAACCATGTCTTTTGCGAGCTGGTCCTGCTTTTGGCGGGCGTCGCTGTGCTGCTTGTCGTACCAATCACTCCAGAGCTCGTCAATCTACATCGCCATACATGAGAGATATGAGACACGCCGCCATGACACGTCACCATGACGCGCGCCTGGTCGTAGGCACGCAGTAGCGTCTCGTTGGCCTTGTCGAGTGCCGACACATCGGCCGTGGCTGCTTGAAGCAGATCGGACGTCGCGACCTTTTCGGCGCCGTCCGGTGCGTCCACAAGCACATGGCGCAGTCGCAGTAGCGTTGTTTGGTGCGCGCCGGGGGCAGCAACAAGGTTCATGACCGCCGGTGCAATCAAGTGATACTGCCGCGCGAGGTTTTGCAGCTCGGCGAGGCGACGCGTGGGGCTTCGGCCGTCTGCGCAACTCCCATTCAAGCCCAGTCCATGGAATAGCCATTATACCGGGGTGGTGCAGATCGTGGTGGATGTCGTGGCCGAGGGGTAGCCATTCGTTCACGCTCGTGATGAGCTCGGCTTGCTGGTGCAGTTGGCGCTGGAGCGTTTCTTTGAGTTTTCGCGCCTCGGCGTCGACGTGCCCGACGCTGGCAGCCCCGAGTCTCTGCACGGTCTCGGTCCATTTGTGCAGCTCCCGGCCTTGGTCGGCACTCTTCTCCGCGACCGTCTCCAGCGCCTCGCGCAACTCCTCCGAGGCAGCGACCTGCGCTTGACGCATCTCGGCGAGCTTGGAAAACACCATCGAGAGGTCCGGGCCGCCACCGACGGCCGACGTTCCGGACGGCTCGCCCGACGACGTCGACGATGATGGCGCCGTCGCAAAGCTTTGCATGAGTTGCTACGCATGCTATGAGTGGCATCGACAAACGCGGCGGCGCAGCACCTGGGTCTCCTGGAATTCCTCGACTTGGCGACGGAGCTTGCGCAAGTCGTCTTGAGTCGCCTTGATCGTTGTCTGCGCGCCATCGGTCAGCAGATGCAACCTCTAGCGAGAGGACGAGGTACTTTGTTGGCGTCCACGCCCTCGGTGTTGGCGGAGACGGTGTCCTGCAACGCTTGTAGCTGCTTGGTTAGCTCCATAATCTTGGCCAGCTGCGTCTCCAACGCCGTCTCGTACGCTGCATTGACGACTACACAACCCATCCTGTCAGTAGATGCAATATGCGCTATGATTGCATACGCTCGGTCGGTGGTACTTTGGGCTCGAGAGCCGCTGGCGCTGCAAACGTTGGCGGGCGTCCGCTCACCTCACGCAATTCGTGCTGCAGCTGCGCCATTTGTTCAAGCACATCCTCGCGATCTCGCTCGGCGCGGGCGACGCGGGCGTTGAGGTCCCGGAGTTGATTTCCCAGCTCGTTTGTTGCTGCCCCCGTTTTCAACGACGCGCGCCCACCGGTGGACCGACGTGATCCATGTCGCGTCGTCGTTGCAGGGGCTAGGGTCGTGGTCACGTCCGAAGACTCGAGCTCCTGCGTCGCTTGCAGTACGGGAGCTGGATCGCTGGTCTTGACGCTCTCATCACTGGCTCGAAGCACGTCGCTACTGCTGGTATTAGTTTCGGCCTCGACCTCGATCTCATCGTCGTCGTCATTGCCACTCTCGTCGTCTGGGATGTCGTCAAGAGTGGTAGCTTCCATCGAGCTGGCACCCGCTTCGTTTAAACTATCTTTGGTGTGCGCGTCCGCGTCGTCGGACCCTGAGGAGGGTAGTGGCAGCGTGGAAGTCGATCTTCGTGCGCCAATTTCGGCTCGGACGTGGGCCAGAATCTGATCTTGAAGCTCGTCTAGAATCTGGGCTTTGAGTCCTTCGAGTGCGTTTGGTAGCAAAAAGTCGCTCATGCGCGCCGACATCTGGTCGACTGTGGACGCCAGATCTTGGACAGTGGCTTCGACGTCGTCCAGCTTGGCGCCGTGTTCTTCAATGATCGCGACTTTCCCACCAAGCGCGTGGGTGAGCGCAGACGCTTGCGCAATGTCGGCTTCGGAGCCCTCGACGCGCTTCTGGAGGCTGTCGACCATCTCGAGCACTTCGTCCCGGATCGCGCTCGGGTCGTTCGCTTGCACTTGGACGAGCGTCTGGTTTGTCTACGGGCGAGGCATCCGATTCTGCGTCGCATGTAATATCGTGTGCGGTACCTCGTGCTGGTGCTGCTGCAGCTTGGCCAGCGCTGCTGCGAGCTCGTCCAAGAGCGTGTCGTGTTGCTGCAGCGTCGAGCCAACTGTCTTCATGACGTGCGTGAGCGGTGCCACGGAGAACGTAAGCAAGTCGCCACCAAGGCTCGATGCGAACGCGTCGCCATTCCACTTGCCGCCGCCGCCGGCGTCCAAAGGGTAGGCCATGCTACTCGGACGTTTTTCTACTAAATTGAGCGTCGCTCTAGTTGCACACGAAACGCCACCACGCGGGGAAGCCCGCGTGCAAGCAATTGAATCGCGAAATCATTCGGCTAAGCCTTGAAGCAAGTGCCATTTTGGGCCATTGCGACCGACATGGCCTTGGGTCCAGAGCAGTTGCGTCGCGTACAAGCCATCGACACGGCATAGATAGATAGATAGATAGATAGATAGATAGATAGATAGATAGATAGATAGATAGATAGATAGATAGATAGATAGATAGATAGATAGATAGATAGATAGATAGATAGATAGTACTAGCAGTGTGCCGCCACGACATTGTCAAATTCCAACCGATCAAAACTGCAACACGAATCATACAGGAGATCGCACGCAACTTGGTTGGTAACACGACTTATGAACTAACTGGGCGTCGCATCGTTCGTCTTCTTCTTCACGCGCTTGACTGGGGATGCTGGCGACGACGGGTTGGACGGTAGCAGCGGAAGCACATTCTTGCCCGACCCCGTTCTCCTACGGCCAGTGTGAGGACCCAAGACCACCTGATATCTCGATTGCTTTTCGTGCTGCGGCATCCGAAACCCCGCGCGGTAGACGTGGTAGTCGTCGCCCATCTGGTCGGTCAGCGCGTCCTGCAAAAACGATCAAAATAGCTCGAGGCAACGATACTTGCCATGACGGGGTCGTGCGGTGCTTTGAGAATCGGTTCCATTGGCAGTCGGTCGTGGACGCTTTCTATCTCGTGGTTGGGTATTTTGGAGGGTAGAGGAAGAGGAGGACCATGGACATGGGGCTCGAGGCGCACAGGGCGACTGCACGCAATGCACATGACCGGCTTGCTACCGCCTACACGCACGGTGTTGCGTGCTGTGCATATCAGATCTCGGTTGCACCCGCTGTGGTCTCTTCGCCGATCGGGAGGTTTTCTCGGATCGACTCGAGTGCTTTGGATACGCGGTGACGGATCACGTCGTTGAGTTCGTTCTTGATACTCTCAATTTGCTACCATCGTCGTTGAAACCTTGATCGACCGATACAAGACTCGCACCAGCTTGGTGAGGTTTTGAGACTCGGCGAGCTTGGCTTCGATGTTTTGGGCAAAACTGTCGAGCATCTGCGCGGGGTTGTACGTTGGGATCGCGTGACGCGGCTGCGTCGAGTTGCGATTGGCTACGCGTTGGACGATAGTGTGCACAACATGTCTTGTTTTGTAGGACCTTCGAGATTGACAAACATTTCGGCCACCTTGTCGGTAATGCTCTCGAGCTTGGAGCTGAACTGGTCGTCGTCGTGACCGAGGCGGGAGAGGACCGTCTTGTCGTCCGACGGCTTCTCCGAAAGCGACTACACTAGGAATCGCCAACAAATTCGAGCGCTTGGATTCGAGGCACCTGCTTGAGGTCGGAGCAGAGGCTTGCAATGAGCTCGGCTTGCGCGTCAAGGTTGGACTTGATGTCGGCATCGTCGCAGACCGCCGTTGTGCCCGCACCCGTAGAGTTAAAGCGCGCGGAACCGAGCACGGCGTGGATCTTGGCGAGCTCCGAAAACACTTGAAACTAAAAAGCGAGTCCAGCAACGCCTCAAAACTCAAAACGTGTCCTACTTTGAGTTTGGCGAGGTTGTTGGCCGTGACCTTGTCACTGAGATCCGTCCGGTACGACACGAGGTTCCGGCTCATCGCGCGGAGCGTGTCCTCGATCTCGGCCAGTCGCCGGTTCGTGCCAATGAGCTTGGTGTCGAACGTCTTGGCGTCCACGGGACCATCGCCCGACCGCGACGGTGAGGTGGCTGCGATAAATACGTAGCAATACAAGACGAGGTTGGCAAGAAGAGTACCCGACGACGGGTGCACGCTGGGTGACCGGCCGTTCCGCGCCATGTCCCGCAGCTCTTTGACGAGCTGCGTGTAGCGTTGAAGCATATCGCCGTGCATCTTGGAGTTCCAGAGCTGGAGAGGTCGTCCATCTAACAACGACGGTACGTTGTCGTCGACGCAATGCATTCGTACGTGTTTTTCGCCAGCGCGTTCTGCGCCGTCATGTCCGTGTTGTGTTGCTCGAGCGTATGGAGCATCTGGAGGAGGCTCGTGAGCTTGTCTTGCAGCTCCGCCGAGTCCTATCGCCGATGAGGAAACACGGACAAGGCGTCTGCAAATCAACGTCAGATGGAAGGTGCGCGGCTTCAATGTCGTTGCCAAGACGCGCCAACGAGTCTTTGAGCAGCGCAGGCATCGCGACGAGCGGTGGCATTTGCGCGAGGAGGTGCCCAAATGCCGTGTGGAGGCCTTGGATGTCGGGCAGCTTGACAGAGAGCACCTCGGCCGCGCCTAGCCGATGCTGAGCGCACAAGAAGAAGAAGAAGGAGGCGAGCGTACTCAGACGCTCGAGGTCCTTGCGCAACGCGAGTGCGTGCTGGTGCAAGTCGACAAATCCGATCCCGAGCCGCTCTTGCGCTTGGAGCGCGCGCTGAAGCCCTTCCTTCTCCTTGAGCAGCGCCATCTCAATGTGCCGGAGGGCCATTTGCCGATCGTCGTCGTCGCGCTCGACCCAGTCGGCGATGTGCGCGCTGTGCTTCTCGCTCGCCTCCGAGAGGAACTTGGCGTCGTTCTGGAGCCGGTGGACCCACTGCTGCGTCACGCTGTTGTCGTCCGACATCGTGTCCATGCGACTGCGGAGCTCGTCCATGGCAGCGTCCTGCGCGGCGCGCATCTCGGCCAGTCGACCCAGCACTTGGCTAAAGTCTGCGCTGCCGTCGCCCGACGACGTCACGGTCGAGAAGCTTTGCATCAAGCCCTACACCAAGCATCACAAATAAATTATCTCGACTTCCACGCGATAAAGCGCGGTACTTGGTCGTCTTGGAACGCGCGAAAGTCGTTGGCAAACTTGCGAAGCTCCGTTTGGAGGGCGTGGGATACCGCCTACGCTCGCTCTGCTGTGACGATCGCGCGTCACGCAGAGGGTTACTTTTTGTGCGTCCGAGTCACTCTGCAGCATCACTTGCGCTGCCTCGAGGTCCCGAACTTGCTTCTCGAGCGGATCAAGACGCCGCAGCTGCAGCGCGAATTGCTCGAGCTTGGTGCGCGCGTCCGTCATGTCGCGCCCGAGCGCGTCGAGAGCATTTCGGTCCAGCGGTATTTCGTTGTCGCTTGTTCCAGTCGCTCCGGCCATGCCCGGCGAATTCGTGCGAGGCGCATCTATGGCGCAAATTCGTTGGTTGGTGTCAATGCAGTGGAGGGAGTACATAGCTCGGCCGACGGTGTTATCGCGACCTGCAGCTTTAGCTAGGGCATCGATACAGTAACCATCGACTCACAAGAGCAGCTACCTCGGCCACGTCGCTGGCGTGGCCCTGAAGGGCTTCTTGCAAAGCTTCGTACTGCTGTCGGAGCGCCTCCAGCAGTTCTTCCTCTTGGTTGAGCCGCCGGTGCACCTCGGTGAGGTCCACGGGTGGTGGTGGCGCGGCCAAAGCAGGTGGCGTCACACTACCGAGCGTACTAGGTTTGAGCGCCGTGTTGTAGCTCTGCGCGCGCTTGAGCTCGTGCAGGTGCGGTGTCGGCGCATGTGCTTTCGCCGCCTTCCCAACGTCCTCGATGCTCGTCTGCAGCGCCGCGAGCTGGTCCTGGAGCGTCTTCGCTTGCTTCTCGAGCGACGCCTCCATCTCGTTCTTGAGCGCCGAGAGCTCATTCGTTGAAGCGAGCCCGCTTGTCGACGGCAACATGGCGCTCATTTCGTCGCGGAGCTGATCGAGACCGTGCATCGTTACGCATTCCCGAAGACGGTCTTCGATCATCTTCATGCGCTCGAGCTGCGGCATGGCCGGGTCCACCGGGGGCAGCGACGGCGTGACCTCCGTGGCTTTGATGTGCATTTGCGTTGCGAGATCGGCGATCGTAGCGGTCGCTGCCGCCAAGTCGTCGGTCAACGTCTCGGTCTTGGCAGCCAACGGTTGCATGAGCCCGAGAAGCTCGTCGCGCACGCCTTGGGTCGCGGTACCAACGTGACTCAGGAGCTCGTCCTTGGACGCTTGCGCAGACTGCGCCAACTACGCTGCGCATGAGACGTTGTCATCATCGGCGATGCGCACGTTTTGGTTTTCTGTCTCGAGGTGGCGGCAGTACTGTAAGAGCTGCAGAAGCGTGTCATCGTGCTTCTGGAGCGACGTGCCTACGGAGCATCAGCCTCCAGACCCTTCGGACCACGTACCCATGGCCTCAATGGCCTTGGCGAGGGGCGCGACGGAGAGGGAGAGCGAGTACGTGAGCAAGTCGGTTTGCATCATCGAGGTGAAGGCTGCACCGTCCCACGCCGGGTCCACGACCAGCTTATAGGCCTTGATGCCACTGCTTTCCTGGTTCTCGTCCGTCCGATCATTCGCGTCTTCGGCTACGGACTCGTCGGTGCCGCCATTGTTTTCGGCGCTCTCGATGGTCGCCTCGAACTCGGCGGCGTCGGCCGGAGGCATCGGGCTGCTCGAGCGACTAAAATAAGACCTTGGACAACGAAACGGGTTATTTTGCAAGCCGACTAGGGACAGTTCTGCAGTCGTAAACCAGATTCTCGCGAGCCACACCAGACAGTTTGTTTAATCACGCGTCCTTCCTTGTCAGAAGTCTTTGGTTTCGAGATTTACTCGAGCGATGCTATCAACCGCCATGTTGCAAGACGACTCGAGGTCAACAGAAATCGAATTGGAAACTTCGTCGTTGAAGCCATAACCTGCTACATGCTGGCTTTTCGCGTGCGAACGCCATGACCCAACTCGAGCAGGATGGACGTGCGGCGCTTCTTGAGCAGCATGGGCGACGCGGTAATGCTGGACGTGGTGGCCGTGAACCCACCGACGGCGTGGCGAGCTGTCGTCGCCTTGGGCGTCGAGATGGCCGCTTCCTTCGTGGCGGGTGCCACGACGAGGAGCGGCGTCGTCGGTCGCAGCTGCACGCGAAAAGGGCTCGAGAAGCCTTCGTACGGCACGACGGCCTTTTGGCTCCAAGACGGCTTGCAGTCGCCGTGGTGTTTCAAGCGGTAGGTCCCTGGCGGTGTCCCCGGTGGCACCACCCACTCGATCGTCGCGTGGGACGTCGAGACGCCGACGCGCGCCCAACGAAAAAACGTGTCGGCGCTGCTGTCGTCGGCGACGAGGACCCACACGCCGAGGTCGTCGCGCCACCGGTGGACTTCGAGGAACGTGCTTTGCGTGCGCAGATTGTTCTTGGGGTGCCCGGCGTAAAAGGTGGCGCGCACCGTGTCTCCCGGGTAGTACAAACTGTCGGAAACGTTCGCGACAAGATCCCCAAACGCCGACCCATTTGGCACCGAGTCTTGGACCACCGGTGTGTGCCAGTGGGTCGTCGTCACAAAGCCATGCGCCGGCGCCGGACACGTCGGCGGCGCCTCGTGCACCAAGAGCGCGCGCGCCAGCACTTCAAACTGCTGCTGCGTCGCGACGAGCTGATTCGGCCCAAAGTGGGTCGACGCGCCTTCGTAGCGCTGCACAGCGTACTCTTCGCGCGTCGTCATGTAGCCGCAGTAGTCGTTGGCGAGGCCAGCGACGACCACGTCGTGGCCTGGCAAGGCGTCTCGGATTGTGGCCCGGAGTCGGCGGCCGGCCATCGTCGTCGACTCGAACGGCACGGCGGCGAGAGCGAGCGCGTCGCCGATGGAAATGAGCTGCAGCGGTAGCACGGACGGGGAGAGGCCGTAGGACGCAGTCGGAAACGCGATGATCTTTTCTTTCTGCCCGGCTTGCGTCTGCGGCACGAGCGTGAGCCAGTGCTTGTCGCTTCTCCACGTGAGGCCCTCGGGGATCATCGCAATGCCGCGGCCGTCAAAGGTCGTACCGCTGAGCATGGAGACTCCGATGCAGCCGGGGGACGTCGTCGGCGCGCACTCTTTGTACTGGTGCCACTTGGTCGAGAGCGGGATCGCGTTGTAGTCGACGTACTGATGCACGCACTTGACGGCGCCGGCGATGGCGGGGCTCGACGCGGCCTCGAGGTACAGCTGACGCGCGGTCGCGAGCTGCGCCTCGGCCACCTGGACCATGCGCGAGAGGTCGTCTTCTTGGTTGCCGCAATGCCGCGGGCCGCAGATATTAGGGCTCACGTCGCCTTCGTTGCTCTGGGCAAAGGCGGCGACGAAGCTGCGAGGTCGGTCGAGCAAGTGGTTGTTGCCGTGCTCGCGCTCAAACGCATGGGCTGCATACCCCTACCGAGCGCGTCAGACTCGTTGCGACCACGCTACACTACCTTGTTGTCGCCAGTGATGAGCGTGAACCAGCTTCCCATGCTGGTCGGATGCACGGCAAACCTACACATCCAGGTGAATTCGTCCATGCAACAAACGCAAAAAGAGGGCGAGCGTACCAGTTGATCATGCCGATCGGGAACCCGTCGAGGCCGTCGAGACGCCAGAGAACCATCTCCTTGTCCGTGTCGTGCTCGTACAGCGCGCGCTCTGCTGCTGGGTTTGCGTTGTACGCGTCGATGGACCGGTTCACGGACGCGCCGAGGCAGGTGCCCTTGGCCACACGAATGACGCCGGGCTGGCGGTTGGCGTATGCCCGCGCAATGGCCTCGACGATGCCAGCCACGACGCACTCAAAGTTCTAACGGACTTGATACATCGTACTAGTACAGAGCGAGCGGACGTACTTGCTTGTCAAAGCCCTTCAACGGCGGGTGCATGCTGTAGATGAAAAAGTCGGAAAGGCCGCCCGGCGCGCAGTGCGTGTGCGTTGCGCTGAGCAGTACGTTGGTCGTTGAGAAGACGCCCTTGGGAATCGTCGCGTGGGCGTCGAGGCGCATGGCGACTGCGCGCGAGACAGACTCGGTGATGCAGCCCGTGTCGACGCTGACAAAGGCGCAGCATCTCTCTTCCTCGAAGACAAAGGCGCGCGCGCGCAGCCGCATGTGCAGACCCGTTGTGAGCTGCTGCGGGCTGGCGTAGCCGAACATGCCTACCTCGGCCGCCGGGCCCGTGATGTCGAAGACGCCTGCGCCAAGTCGCATGCTAATTTGGTTGTGCGAGAGAAAACGGATCCAGCCGGATACCGGAGACCGGCGCCCGATTGGTGGATTGCGTATCCGGCGCTGGACGTCACGCCATGACGTGGCACGCAAACCGAAGGGGCGCGCCGTGGATGCCTTGTTTTTGGCTCATGGACACGATGGCTTGCGAGAGGCCACGAGCACCTCGTCATCATACACTCTCGACGACGACTATACTAGCGTGGTCGGCTGCGTCAACGCGAGAGGTCGCACACGGGATGGCATTGATCTTTGCCGAACATTCGGTTGATGCCTATGCTGTTCTCTGCGTCATCAGTGCAGTCACAGCGATCCGTGCACGCTACTATCTTGGGCCATCTCGCGCGGTTCCTACGCTGCGTGGACTCACATTTGTAGCAATTTTTGAATTTCTCGATTTTCATTTCAACGACTGGTCAGGTTGATGTTGACGTTCGAAGCAGCTTGTCGCCCTTTCGCTCAAAAGACCTCGCAATTGCACTTGCAGCTGCTGGTTCTCGCGGCTCGACGCCTTGGCGAGCGCTTCGACCTGCCACAAACGCGCCTCCAGGGTCATGTGAAGTCGACTGAGCGCATCTTGCTGGGAGAGAACGAACGCTTGGTGCTGGTCCGCCAGTCGTCCATCAAGCGACGTCGCGCGGAAATGGGCTGCATCTAATGCCTTCACTTGCGTCTCGAGGCTTGAGATGGCGCTGACGTAGGGCTGCCACCGCGTCGTCGCTTCGGCCGTCCACTGCGCATGAAGCTTCTCCAAACACGCTTGACGCGACGCATGTAGCTCGGCCATGTCGCGGGATCGCTTTTGGATCTCCGCTGCGACAACTTTTTCCAAGTTGGCGAGGACGACCTCGGTGCGGCTGGCCTGCTCCCTCCAGTGCGCTTGCAATGCCTGCGTCGTCAGCTTGATGCGCCGCTCAAAAGCCACTGTACTACCTGCACCTGTACGTCGACAGACTCTTGAACTTGCGCGATGTGAGCTTGGCATTGTCGCCACTCGTTGGCCATGCGCACAGCTTGTGCGTCCATCCATTTCGCCGTCCGGAGATGCTCCGTCTTCTCAGTGGCGTCGCATTGGGACTTGATGAGCTCTACGGCCATGTGCAGCTGTTGCCACTGCATGTGGCAGGCCTCTTGGAACGTGTTGCGCTCGTGGCGGTCCGTCTAATGCCAGGTCCGAGATCGTTTCGGCGATGGATGCACACAACATACAACGATCTGTGTCTCCAGCGCTTGGATCCGTGACTGGCTCACTTCGTGGATGCGGGCAAGGCTCTCGGACGTGAGCTGACCCAAGACGACGTTCGTCTCTCGGTGCTCGTCCTGGAGCCGGTCGCGGCACTGGAGCGTGTCCCGCAACGTTGTTAGCAGTCGGCGCTCGACGTCGGCGGACCAGCGCTCGACGTCGTCCTCCATCTGCCCGCGCTTCGGCAGCGTAGACTCGATCGTCGCGACGCGATCGTGGAGCCGCTGGAGAAGCGTGGTGACGTGCGTACGCGTCTACATCGGAAGATGAAAAGAAGATCCAAGAAATGGCGACAGTCTTGCCTGCAAGGCGACCGCCATGTGGTCGTCGCCGTCGTTGCGTCCAGGGTCGCTCGCGACCCGTCGCTCCAGCGCGCCGACGCGCTCGAGCACTAATGCGTGTTTCTAATGCAGACAATCATACAGTCTCTTAGCTCGGCTCTTTGAAGCGCCACACGCTGCGAGTGCGGACGACGTACGAGCTGGAAATCATCGGCCAACGCGGCCACCTGCTGGCGCAAGTCACTCACGCACCACGCGTGCTCGTCAAGCTTCGTGGTGGGCGACGGAAGGCCGGATGGGGTAACGAGTGGCCTACATGTAGCACCGTGCGTCACCTCGATGACACTTGGGTCTCGATGCCGTGAGTGGGATCTTGCGCACTACTCACAAGTGCGGAAGCTTGACGTGCAACGGGTCGCGCTTCGTTGGCGACAGCACAGTGGGCCTCGGTTCGCCGCGAGCTCTGATTTGGTCGTCGAGCGCTATTGACAACGCAAGGTCGTCGAGGCTCCCTGCGTCGACAGCGGTACCATGGGCGTACTCGCGCTGCTGTTGGCGCTTCCAGTCCCCGCGCTGCATCGTGTATTAATAGACGGCATACGCTGGCTGATACACTGTTTCCTGACGTGCGCACCACGATGCACCGTGTCAAAGTGCCCAGCTGGCGACCCGTCCAAGCCTCGCCACCTGTTCAAAGCAGGGCACTCTACATGCTCTACATCCTTGCTCCAGCGCGATCTGATCGCAGAGAGCCGGCCGCGCTGTACGAGCGAGATTGCCGTTTGGCGTTCGTCTTACTGGACGTTCCTCATACAGAGTCTTGACACGAATAATTTCCGATCCACTGGACGTACGAACCCGTTTCTCTGAAGATCATCCGCGACTCTTCGGACAGCCTTGTCTCTATGTACTATACGCCCTTGGGCCACGTCATGGATGGCGCGGCGCCATGGTGTACTTATCGCCAGTGTCTACAACGCAGCGGCAAAGACCCCGCGCTCCCTGCCCCCGGGTATCCGGATGTTTCCAGAAAAGCCTGCGGCCATCAGTTCTTGCAGCCTCGCTGCTATAGTCGACGGTGTCTGGATTGGGGCCGCGGGCGTTGAATAAAATTCGTGAAATTCCATACAAACAACAAGTATGAAAAAATCGATGAGGTTCCAGCGTAAGTCACTCCCGCTCATACCATTACACAGCTGGCACCTTGAAACTCGATATAAATCTCTCCTGCAATGGGCCTCTGCTGTTCACTTCCGAAATCGACTGGCTTTTGAGATGGTGAACTCGTATGGATACGACCTGGACTTTAGCTGGGACCACCCGTGGCCCCGGGCGCCCGTGCCCAAGGACGAAGAGCTGCGTCTCTCGGAGCTCGAGCGCTACCAGATCCTCGACACGCCGCAGGAAGAGCGCTTCAACAAGCTCTGCCGCATCGCGTGCAAAGAGATGAAGTGCCCGATCGCGGCCGTGAGCTTCATTGACCGCACCAAGCAGTGGTTCAAGGCCAACTCGGGCCTGACACAGGCCGCGATTCCGCGTGACGTGGCGCTCTGTGCGCACACGATTATGAACCCCCGCAGCGCCGTCGTCGTGCTCGACACGACGCAGGACGAGCGCTTCAAGAACAACCCGCTCGTGACGCGCGCGTCGTCGGTCAAGTTTTACGCCGCCGTGCCGCTCGTCACGAGCCGCAATGTCTGCATCGGGTCGGTCTTTGTCTTCGACGTCAAGACGCACTCGGCCTGCGAGACGAAGCTTTTGCAGAAGATCGCCGCCAAGGTGATGAAGTACCTCGACGAACGCCTGCAGTCGCCCGATGGCGTGCCACTTGCGCCTGCCCCGGCTACGACCCACCGCTCGTCGCTGCCGTCCGCACAGCCTGCGGCCGAGCCGTCGCCGTCGGCCAAACCCGAACGCCGCATGTCTGCAGACGTAACCCCGGCAAAGTCAGTGTCGGCGCCTACGTCCACGGTCGCCCCCGCACCCGTCAAGCCGGCGCCGGCCTCGTCGCCGGTCGCAGCCGCTCCTCCTGCTACCGAATCCGCGCTCGTCGCTGCGGCACCTGGTGCGGCCACGGATGAGCGATCCCTTGCGACATCGGCCGTCAGTAACAACGGCGAAATGACCAACATGGGCGCCATGCTCATGAACCTTCTCGCGCGCACAACCGAGACGCAGCAGCAGCTCGCGGCGCAGCAGGGTGTCATGTTTGAGACGCTCGGCCACCACTCGGATCAGCTCAACTCGCTGACGGAAACCCTCTCCTCGCTCGAGATGCGCATCGACCGGACCGTGAAGGCCAAGTCGGCGTCCAAATAAGCCCTCGTCGGTTGAAGATGATACTATTATTTGGGGTCGATAATTTTAATTTTTATAGAGTATCCTTGTGTTGCTGTCCATAGAAAGGCCGACTTTCGAAAAGTGCAATCTTTCGAGAAAAGTGCAATCTTTCGGTAAAAGTGCAATCTTTCGGTAAAAGTGGTCTCGCCCGACCAGGAGTCACCAAGCCACCGCACGCTGTCCAACGACGGCCATGGCCCGCGGATGTTCTTTCTGCGAAAGGCCCGAGATTTCGGCTACTTAGGCTTCTACGGTTTCGCGCCCGTGGAATCTATCGCCTGCGTCTTGCTCTTCTTGGTCTTCTTTTCCTTCTTGGTCTTCTTGGCCTTCTTTGGCTGCTTCGTGGGCGCAAGCGACGCCAAAGCAGATCCAAGGCGCTGCTGGTAGAGGAGGTGCTGCAGCATGGTCACCGTCGCAGCTTCCGCATCGTGCACGGGCACCATCTCGGGCGAGGGCAGCAGCGACTGGGACACGAGTGGCACGCCCCCATGCGCGCAAGCAGCAACGACAGCGTCGTGGCCGGCATGCGTCGGCGCCAATGGCACGAGCACGAGCAGTCGCATGGCATCGCCGGCGCTAGCAATCGCCTCTGTTGTGTAGAACGCCTCGTAGAGCCCGCGCTCCGCCGCTGCATTTGAGACGTCGATCGCCATCGTACTTCCCTCCACAAGGCGCGACGCCATGGTCGCAACGTCGGCATCGGGCGTAGCGGCTGCGAGGTACTGGCACAGCGCACGGAGGATCTGGTACTCACACGGCGCAGCCTGATGCTGCTCGGCGAGGGCAGTCACGAGCTCGTCTTGCTTGAGCGTGAGCGCGACGGCGTCTTCAAAGACAAACGTCAGCGCGGTCGTGAGAGGTACCTCGCCCGACGACGCAATTCGCGATCGCCACAAGGTCACGACAAGGAGGCGCACCATGGCCCAGAGCGCCTGCGACCGAGACCCAAGGTCGGTGGAGACGCCGGACGACGCCATGGGCACGGCCGCCACGACGTGCATATGGACAGGCACTGACGTGGCCTCTGCTGTTGTCTTCTGTCGCTTGGCCGGTGGCGCTTCTGTCTCGACGGCGCATGCGCGCTCGAGGGCGGGACCGAGGACGCCCCGCGCTTGGTGGTACGCGATGACACTGAGGATCTTGCTCGTAAACTCAGGCACCGCGCCGAGCCGGACACCCGTGAGCGAGATGTTCTGTGTGGCGCAGAGCTGCTGCAGAATGTTGTTTTCGGTCGGCGTCATATCCCGGACGGCGCCGAGGAAGAGGACGATCTGGAGGCTCGGGTCGTCTGTGGGCGCCAAGTCGGTGTTGAAGCATGGCAGCTCGGCATCGCTTGACTCGTGCAGCGTGGCTGCAATCACGCGCTTGATGGAAGCGTCGCGCGGCTGTAGCATGTCGTGGAAGATGGCGTTCACAACGTCTTTTTTGGAGGCGGCGGTCGTGCCGTGGGTGGCAGTCCACTCGTCCCAGACGCGAAGCAGCGCCTGCTTGTTGGTCTTGCGCAAGACGACGTCCGGCTTGCTGTTGAGGCGGTGGCCGCGCAGAAAGTCCATGTCGCAGTGCTTTTGCAGATGCTCGAGCACTTCGCGCTTGCTCTCCATGGCCGCGACCGTGTCGGCTCCAGCGATGGATAGCGCGCTCTGGACGAGCTTGCACGCGACGGCGCTGGACGCAGACGACGCCTTTGCGTGTTGAGCGGTTTCGCGCCACGCGTTGACCACGTTGAACTCGGACGGCGTCGCGTCGCCTTTCGTCACGTGCATGCGCGCCCAGTCCTCGTCATGCACGAGCACGAGCTCGCGGCTCGTGCAGTAGGCGCTGGAAGGGCCATGCAGAAAGGCAGAGACACAACGGACAAGAGCGTCACGGCGATTCCACCACTGGCTCTCGTCTCGGTGGGGCTGGTACGACGCCGCGTCACCGCCACGGCCCTTGCAGAGCAGCACGACCTTGACGTGGACCATTGCCAATCAAATCGAATCGTTGTCCGTGCCACCATGGTTATTATCCGGACAAACCGGATAACCTGGTCGTCAGTTGTGGCGGCAATCAGCAATCAGGTGGCAACCATGGGTATTAATAGTACAACGCACAAAGGACAACGCCGACACGTTGGCAAAAACTCGATGCACGGAAGGTACCTTGCGATGAACCCTGACAATTACTAGTACCCCAGGTCGAGTACTGTACCAGGCTTCTTTGCGAGCTACGGTACGAGCAGTGTCGTGTCACTCGACTCTCCACACAGTCAGGACCAAGGGAACGCAGTGGTCAGGACGGGAGATTTTGTCGACTTCGCTTTACACGTAGCTTTACACGTAGCATTGGCCACTTGCACCGTGTTAGCAAAGCAGAGTCAGCAAAGCGGAAAGCGTCCAAGACGTCTCATCGCCACATAATCGGTGGTATATCAGCGGACTGGGATGTATTGGCTCACCCGCTCAAGGTGGAAGTGTGGCGAATCGATGACGTTACATATCAGCGCTGTCAACTGCTGACGCTGCGCACGTCGAGAGCTTGCTTCGCAGCGTACCGAGCACATAGATACCTCCATTGCCCTTCGAGTGTTCGCGGCGCTCGTTTAGGCGGCTTTACACTTGGACTCATCGCGTGAGCTAATCACTGCTTTGTGGTAATCACGGTCCGCATCTTCGGCTTTGTATGCAGCGTATCCGGTCGCATCATCCGGATACACCTGTCTATGCTCCACGGAAATCCTTCGGCGATGCGTCAACCGCTGGTGGCGCCACGCATCGTCAGCTCATTTCCACTTCGTTCAGCTGTAGCAACATGGCTTTCCTTGCGTCGGTCAACGACACGAAGGTGCTCATCGCGTGCTCGGCGATCCTCACGGTCAAGTTCTACATCTCGACGATGATCCAGGGCGGGAAGCGCTTTGCGGCTGGCACGCGCCCGCCGGAGGACCAGATCCTGACCAACTTGAACCCGAAGAACCAAAAGCAAAGCTTTGGCGTGCGTCAAGAAACCGAAGCCAAGACGGACGATGACAGCGAGACGAAGAAACCGCTGAATCTGACGCCGTCGGACCGCGCCATCGAAGCCGACCTTCGCTGGGAGCGCCTCGTGCGCAACGACCTCGAGAACATCCCGATCGGCCTTCTCTCGGCGTGGGCTGCCGTCAACTCGGGTGGTAACCCTCTCGTGAACAGCGCGGCGATCGTCATTTTCACTGTCGGCCGCATCGCGCACACGTTTGCTTACGCGAAGAGCCTCCAGCCCCACCGTGCGTACGCGTGGATGGCCGGCGTCTTTGGCACGCTCGTACTCGTTGGCAACAGCATCGCTGGCATCGCGCTGCATTAATCCTGCGTTTCTAACGTCATTTTTAACCAAATAAACAGTCTCCGGCAGCTCCTGCGGAATCTGTCATTCGTTCCAGCCCCTCGCTGCCATCACAGTATGTCCACGTTAGGTCTGTCACCCCCGATATGTCATTCATGCCCGATCTCTATGGCCTCTGACCTAAAGGCAGCACAGGACGACGATGACAATTGACCATTGACGCGCTAAGGGTATCTCCGCCTATCTCTTGCACACCCGCTGGCCGATCAACCGTGTTGCTTGTAACGAGCCACACTTGATCATACTCTGTGTGTCGCTTCGGCCATGAGCATCGAGTCGCTCGGCGGACTTAAGCTTCTCTAAAGGGTATCGACGCGCTTGTTACGGGTCGGTCGCTGTCGGAAGCGTTCAATCGTGTGGCAGATGCGATATTTGAACTACACTACTGTAGTCCCGTCGTCGGGCACTGCGATCAACACAGCGCTGCTGCTATTGGTACCAATCCATGAATACCCCGCGCGCGTTGTATGCTGCTGCCGACAGCATCACGTTGCTACTTCAAGGAGTGTTATGGCCCTATGCTTGCATAATCGTCGCATTTTAGCCAATCGCAGCCGTCTTGTCGCCAGTATGCGCTAGCCGAAGATCGCAATTGGCGGCATGGTGCCCACGACCAAGTTTACGGCGACGTGGTTCGCGCGACCGAGCGACGAGTCGATCGCGGTCATCGAGCTCCGCCGGCCCACGGTCAAGAACGCCATCAACGAGGCCGTGTACGCCGAGCTTGACGCGCTCATCGGCTTCTACGAAGCCCGCCCGCGCGTGCTTGCGATCGTCCTCACGGGCGCCGGGGACTACTTTACGAGCGGCATGGACCTCACGTCGATGCCAACGGAGGTCCCTTCGCGCAGCGCCGCGCGCCGCTTCATGAACCGCCTCATCGAGTGTCCGAAGATCCTCGTCGCCGCTGTCAACGGCCACGCCGTGGGCATCGGCGTCACACTCCTCACGCACTGCGACGTCGTGTTTGCCGTCGAGTCGGCCACGTTCTGGACGCCGTTCATGCGTGTCGGAATCGTGCCCGAGTTCGGCTCGAGCTACCTGTTCCCAAAGATGCTCGTACGAGAAGATCGACAACATTATGATCTAACGTGGTCGAGTGTCGTAGGGCCCGATGCTCGCCAACGACATGCTTTTGCGCTCTAAGCGAGTGCAAGCGGCGAGAGCGCACGCAGGGGGGCTCGTGACCGAGCTCTTTCCCGTCGCCGGATTCATGGACAAGGTGGTTGGCGAGGTGGCTACCATGGTCGACCAACCATGCGCGGACGAGAGCCTCCTCGTGTTCAAGCGACTCGTCAAGGAAGGCAAGGGCATTGAGAAGGCCAAGGTTCTTGCTGCGATCGAGCGCGAATACGTGGACATCGACGCCCGTTTTGAGAGCGGGTATCTCGTGGAAGCTGCGGTCAAGCAGTTTATGGCGGCCAAAGCTGGCACCAGCAAGCTCTAAACTCCGTCAAGATATACCCAGTATCCACGCACATCTGTACAATCTCAGATGAACAATAGCAACCTGGAATGCTCGAGCTGGGCCTGGCAGTGGCACGAGGAGGACCATTCTGGACGCAGGACGTCCGCCGAACAGTGATCGAACGATTGCGTCATGATGTGGGCCGCCCGCCAATCGACATCAGCTCTGATTGGCTACTTTGATGTATTGCAACACGATGTGCCCGAAGCGGGCCAATGAAACGTGAGTTTGCACTGGGCCGGGCCCACACGCGAGGGCGCATCCTCCGAGCAACCAGTTCCCAACTTCACTCGTTGACCATGGTCAAGATCGGTGTCCTCGCGCTGCAAGGCGCCTTCGAAGAGCACGTCGACATGCTAAAGGCTGTCGGCGCTGACGCTGTCCAAGTCCGCCTCCCGTCGGAGCTCGAAGGCCTTGATGCGCTCGTCTTTCCCGGCGGCGAATCCACGGCCATCGCCAAGGTCGCCGAGCGCTGGGGCATGGTATGCCAGTCTCCAAACCGCCGTTCAGTCGCTAAGCGTTGACCATCCGTAGATTGAGCCGCTCAAGCAATGGGTACACGACAAGAAGCCGATCTGGGGCACGTGCGCCGGTATGATTTTGCTCGCGCAGTCGGCGCGCCACGCCAAGCAGGTGCGCACACCGGCCCGAGACAAGAACATTTGCTTAAAGACGCTTAGGGTGGCCAAGCTCTCATTGGTGGTCTCGACGTCGAAGTCTCGCGCAACTTTTTCGGTGCGCAAATCCGCAGCTTTGAGCAGCACATTCGCGGCCCGCCCGGCTATGACGAGGCGACGCCGTACAACGCCGTCTTCATCCGCGCACCGGCCATCGTCTCTGTCGGCGAAGAAATCGAAATCTTGTCGCAGATCAAGAACGCGTCGCCGGCCGACGGCTCGGACCCGACGGACGTCATTGTCGCGGCCCGCAAGGTGCGGCTGCGAAATCTTCTTGTGCGGATCCCATTTTGTGCTGTAGGACAACATTCTCGTCACTGCCTTCCACCCCGAGCTCACGACCGACACGCGCTGGCACCGGTACTTTGTCGAAGCCATCGTGCAGCACAAGCAAAAGTAATCGTGTCGTGAGTGTAAAAGTTATCAAACCCGTGCTAGAACTCGGTTCTTTGTGAGTTTCTCAGTGTTGAGAACGCCCACGGTCGAGCCAGGAGAAAATACGACAAAAATACGAGGTGCGTGACACAGTACTCGATGCACTGCGTGCTCTTTACAAGAGAATCCTCCTGGCCCTAAATGCCTTGCAACTCCGTACCCCTCACATTGCTTCGTATGGCGAAACCCCGCATAATCCAGACAGCAGCGACGGCTTGGTTGTCCACTATATTGCTTTGCGCTTGAACAGTGCCGTCTGAACACCACTCCCTTGACTCTCAGCGTCATGGTTATCGTCGCCATGCGAATATATCTATATATGCAAATCATAAGCTACGACTCGTTCTTATTGACGGCGACACCCTACTGCGTTGGCTTCTTGTCGGCGGGGAACGCTGACAGCGTCTTGTAGTCCCACGGCGCGCGCTTGGGCGGGAACTTGCCGCTGCGCATGTCGTTAAAGCACTCGCGAATCTGAGCTTGTGTGTTCATGACGATCGGGCCGTGCCACGCAATGGGCTCCTTGATCTTCTTGCCCGCAAAAAGCATCGCCGAGACGGCCTTGGAGCGCGCCGTGAGCTCGAACGTCCGCTTGGCATCGTCGGTCGCGTCGAGGAGCGCGACTTGGTTGATCCGGACGGGCGCCGTGTTAAGGAGCGCGTCGCCTTCGTACACAAAGAGCATGCACGTGTCCATGCCAGCGGGGATGTCGTATGTCAGCGTGCTGCTGGGTGACAGCTCAAAGTCGACCATTTGCACAAACTGCTTGGTCTTGAACTGGCCCGTCCGGCCATCCGAAAACGGACCCGCGAGTAGGCGCGCGTTGACGCCAGGGGACAGCTCGACCTGCGGAATCGTCACCGGGTCTTCCGTGCCGTACGACGGGTCGTCCATCTTGTGCTTGGCCGGGACGTTGAGCCAGATCTGGAAGCCTTCTTCGATCTCGCCAGCGTTATTGGCGCCACCTTCAGCGTGCTCGATACCGCTGCCGCAGCTGATCCACTGCATGCCAGGCGCGGGAAACTCTTCTCGGTTGCCCATCGAGTCGCCGTGGCGGCCGGTGCCGCGCTTGAGGTACGTCATGATGTCCATGCCGCGGTGCGGGTGCCAGCCGATGGGAAAGTCGTCCGGGTGGGCGGCGCGCCCGTCGCTCTCGATGATGAGGTGGTCGCACATGAGGAACGGGTCGCTCTCCGCCGACGGGATGCCCATTGGAAAGGCCTGGATGACCGAGCGGTCGTCGCCGAAGGGGTGGGCGACGCCGGCGTCAACGACGCGGATCGTGCGCATTGTAGTGACCATGCTCGTGTCGGCGAAGTGGCGATTTGGAAACTGCGTTTCGGGAAGAGGCAGGCACATCCCCAGCTGGAGCAACTTACGGCCCAAAGATCCCATGATCCTGGTTTTTGAGAAATGGTTTTGAGATTTTTGTTTTGCGAGGTGACAATAAAAGCTGGTGCACTCAGAATCAACTCAAAACGTTGACCAGGAGCAAAATCCACGAATCTGATTGGCCACTGAGTCTGGATCGCGATTTCGAGGAAGGAACTTCTGCATTGACGAGGCCGCGCGACGTCGGTTCAAGTCGATCGACGACTACTCTTCGTCCGACGGGCGTCCATCTCAGTTATCGACATGGATCAAGCCTCGGTGCTCCAGTGCTAATGACTGATGTTAATAGGTGACGGACAAAGCTGCGACCAGGCGCAGACACCAGAGTCCAGCTGGCAGAAGAAGGTACTTCCATGCATGTGATTTGCTTCTTGAAACAAATCATACCGGTACTACAAAGACGTAAACTTGAGTGGAAGGTCCTTCCTCGGCTGCATCCCCGAACATGTTTGAGCATAGTCTTGTCATTAACTGAAGTCCTGAGAACCACCATGATGGGCTCCTCCATCCAGAAATTCCTGCAATTGAACTTCAAATCTCACTTTTCAACTCGCTTCATTTCCACCACCCCCATCGGCCCCCACTACCAATGCGCACGATCCGCGTCGTTGACGCCGGCGT